GATTCCACCAAACACCTCATCATTTTCTCTTGGAGCCCAGGGAAAGTTTAGAATATTCTAGATTGATCTATGCCGAAATGCCTTTCATAAATCACTATGTGGAGAGTAACAGGAGAAAAAGGCGTCTTAATTGGCACAATTGATGTCTAAATTAAGATGTGAACATATATTGAAATATTATTTTTTAAGCTTTAAAATGAATGGTTCTGTGTTGCTGGAATGTCCCCCCCCCCGCAAAGAATTTCAGAGCCAATAGAATCTATAAATAGTGCAGGCCTGTTGTCTGTGGTAGATTGAGTAGAGCAGAATCGCCTGTCCTTAAGTGAAGGGGAAGTAGCTTTACATTTTTAGTAACTGAATTGTTGGCCAGCATAAAGGTAAGGGCCATGTGAGCAACTTATTTATAACTTTCCATAAAGGTATGTGTCTGCCCTCAAGCAGAGAAACTGTCTGGGGTGCTTGAAATGTAAAAGTGCAGTAGAATCATTTTCCATACACAGCCTTCCTGGCTAGTTGGTGCAATAAAGTGATTGTTCACATGCCTGTGGCTGTCAGAAGGAGGGGTGTCAGTAGATTTTCTTATTAGTGTCGCCTCCTATGGAATAGAAGGGACCGAGGCCATTAAATGTGAATCTATGGTTTTATGTAGTGAAAAATGTTAGATACCAATTCCCGAGGGTATTCAGGACATACATTTAAGCTTGGTTTAAACTCTTGGGTGTGGTCCTACTTATTCTACCCATGTGGTCTAACCACAATTAGGTTCTTGTCAAAATATTTCACGGATATAAAAACACTTTATTTCTTCACAGGTTTAGGTCAACTATAAGTAGGTTTTTTGCTTTTTAAATAAAAAACATGGAATCAGACTGAATTATCTGATAACAGTGGGAGAAGGGAGGAGGTGTAAAATATTTTCATGGCATCCTGTAAAGAGTATGTTAAACTCTTTTGGTAGATGCCAGAAAATGGAATCCATTGTTACCTGTTAATGTCATCACTCGCAACAAGAGTATTTCACTTATCAGCCAGGTTTAACTCTAAGGTTGAAATTTTTATAATCCTAAGTACCCAAGTAAAATGTGTTTTTGGCCCTCCTTTGTTACTCATTGTCTATTTTCAGAGACTGAGTTTTTCCGAATATTCTGTTGACAATTTAAAGGATCTGCATATATGGCTAAAATGTAAACTTTGGCTTTTGTGCCAATATTGTGGCTCTGTTTAGTATTTGGGCAAGTTGTAATAAGTGGTAAATGGCTCATTAACTGTATTGGAAACCTCATAGCAGCACTAATTTCAAATCGTGCTGCGTTTACAATTTACATATTAAAAAACGTTCACTTGATTTCGTTCAGGGACAAAGCTGACATCCTACATAAGCATTACTCCAAACAATCCTATTTATTGGTCCAATTATTTCAATTGAAAGATGCTGGTTTACTGCCTCTTAGTATATGTGAACAATTCTCAGTGAAACTGTTAGAGATCAGTTGGACGGTGGTGGCAAAATAACCTCACAGGGTTTCGATTCACTTTTAATTTTAAGTCCCAGGATTAAGGATCATTTATACTATAATGTAACAGTGTGGGCAAATATAGTTTCCCTTTAATGCCTTTCTGATATTTTGGGGAAAGGATGCTTTTACGCAAAGCATTCACTTACGAATTGCATGACTGCCTTTTCTCCCTATAAATTTCATTCACATTTCCTTCCTTCTCCCACATCCTTAAGAGGCAGGACAGCATGCAGTGTTTTTGGTTCATTTTATTATTTAAAAATTTTTTTGAGACGTGGTTTAAGGTAGTTCTTCAGGATAGATGTCAAGGTAACTAGTTAATACTGTTTGAAAATCAGGCTCTTAATTAAAAATGCTTAATTTGTGCAAGAAAACTACATGTGAAAATGAATTTGGAAAGATTAGATTGGAATTGCCTCAAATTCAATTAAGCCACACTGCATGGACGTGCTGGGAATATCAATACAATCACTGTAAATTTTGTACAAACTGATTTGTTGCATTATCTTGCTCATCTAACATACGGTACTTTTTGTGTCCATATTGCAGACGGCAACTCCAAACTAACATGGCAGTCAGACTGTGTGATGTGGCTTCTCTGCTTAGAAGTGGTTCGTGGGCAGCAGAGCCTTGGACTGGGGTCTGTGGGATTTTTCTTAAATTCTGTAGGCTACTTTTTTTTAGCATGTTGCAGGAGTGCTGAGGCCATACCAAACACTTGAACTTTTCATTTGGCGTACTAATTATTCTTACATTTAACCTATTGCGGTATGGCCATCATTAGGACTTAAAGCACATTGCAATTTTAACCATAGTGGTATATGTAGCATCAGAACCATGCTTTTGTATGTAACTTTTTATAATCTAAATTAGGATTTAGTGCAGACTCAAAGAGTGACAAGCTTTTTTTAAAAGAAACAAAAAAGTTTTGGTATGGTCTGAATACTAAGTTACCGTAATTCTTTACATTCTGTTTACTATGTATTTTTTTGGTTACTAAATTTTGAAGTTATTTACAATTCCTGATGCTCAAAAAAAAAAAAAATTGTTGAAATTGTAAATCTGGCTGAAAATTATTTGCCCAGTAACTGTTGAAAGAGTTTGCATTCTGTGAACAGTTGTGTTGAGCCTATCAATGGAATATGCATTATTTGTAAAATATAGCACATTAGTATCATTTTATTCTGAGCAGATGGTCCTATAGCTGAGAGATGCTGTAATTTTCAGCGCACACAGCCTACTGCAGCTGTTCACTTGAATGTTGGCTTAGGAGCTCATTCTTGCCACCTGAACATGGAAATAAATGTGCAATTAAGTGAGGAGTGTTTGTTGTCCTTGCTAAATCCTGCTAATTTCAGTCAATGAACAGTTTATATTTCGCATGCCATCCCAGTGAGTTAAATCCAGATCTCCTATTTGGGGTTCATATAGTTTCTACACATACCCTAATTTTCGAACAGCGATTTGTTTTAATTGGCCTTGGCCACTCTCGCAACTCATTGTTTTCATAAATGCTGGGCAAAGGTTAATCCCATAAAAGTTTTGCTGTGGAAAGTGACCCACAGCTAATATTCTACAGAATGGAAGTTATGCTTGATTAGGAAATTTGAAAATTCCTTTCTCAGTTTCAGATAAAGTTGTTAATTACAATAAAATGCATGTCTTGAATTGTTTCACTTTTTTTTTCTTGCAGATTTCTAAAGATTTCTTTATTTTCCCTTGCTCCTTTAAGTACTGTAAGAACACTTACCCAAGAGAGGTAGCTTGCAGCTTGTGTCAAAGAAATACCCATTTCTTTGAGAAGGAAATGCAGTCATGGAGGGTTTAGCTTGTTTGATATTTGATAGGTAGTCTGGATTTTGTCTGTTTTTTTTTTTTTTTTTTTTTTTTTTTTTTAAATCATGATAGCACGGATTCTTGCCAGTCTGACCAGTCTTAATCTGGTGAGTTGACCAGTCTCAATCTATCCTATGCTGCCTTCTTTTATAAACATCTCTCGGCAGTCGAGATTTCTTCCTGTAGGCTTATCCACTGTTGTGCCCTTTTATTTTTCTTAGGTAATATGCTTTTTAAAAGACTTTTTTTTTCTCTTGTAACACTCTTTCCCTCTACTTTGCTTTTTAAAAAATTTGCCTCAAATTCTTTGCCTTTTATATGTTAGAGAACTTCCCCCAAAACTAGCATTCCATCAATTCAGAATTGTCAGTTTTGAGAAGTAGTTCTTTGTGGAGATGAGAGCTGTATTGAATGAAATAGGAAGGATAATTCTTTCACTGATGGCTTTGATTTTTGGATTCCCCCACAATCTTGGCTGACCAAAGTAGATACCTGTTGGAAGATGGTTCTAGAAAATTTGGGGCTGTGGTTTGTAACTCTTTTGCTCAAAGGTCGTAGCACTGATTTTTAGAAACTAGATCCAAATTTGCTTAATAAGTAGATTTTTAGAATAGCCTTAACAGTTTGAGGCCATTTTCCCCAAATCTGCTATTTATCCTGTATTTGGAGTTTATAGGTACCTTATTACTTGCATTTCAACAGGCTTATGTGCTCAAATGAAAATTCCTTGGGCTGGTCTGTTTGCAAAAGTTGAAATATTTATGTTATTGTTTTGGTGACTTGGATAGGTTTTAATTTTTTTTTTTTTTTTCCCCATTTAAAGTTAGAATCAAGGCGAAATGCCATATTGAATTGTTTGGGGATTCTGTTTTGACGCTGTAGATCAGTTGCATTGTTGGTGATCTTTAGCTGGCAAGGTTGACAAGAATAGCTTGTTAGATTCTACAAGGTACACTAAGTACTCATAGCTTCTTTTCCAAGTTATCCTACAAATCCTTTTCATGCCCTAACATTTGACATCTAATATTTTTTCTTATTTCTTACCAACAGAAGAGGTATAAGATACTGTCAATCAAAAACATTTTTAATATGTAACCAAAACAGTACATGTTGACAAATTTATATTTTTAAAGTACTCTTGCCTCCTTGATTTTAAGTTAATGGATGTATGTCAGTTTTAGATTATTGAAACTCTTAGGCTAACTGAAAATCTCTTCAGAGTTTGGAAGACCATTTTTTGGTTTGTCTTTTGGTAGCATGTTAAGCACTTCTGTTTCGTAGAATGATTTTAGTCAGGGTTTAATTCCATGCCCTTTGGTACTAAATTTCCCTGAGTGTTTGGATACTGCAGGTGAGTAAGGGTATGTGAATAGACCCAAAATGGGGTTCTAGAGAATGTTTAACATTTAGAGTGTGCTTTTTTATGTGCATGTATGGAATATGTATGTGAAAGTATAATTGTGAACTTAACTTGACTAGCTTAATATAAAGTATAAATTAACGTAGGTGTTGTACTTTTTGTTGGAGCTTTATTGTAATTTCAGCAGAATGACTTGTATTTAGTGACAAGTATTTACATTCTTGGTTGGAATCTCTAATAGTTTGTGAAATATGAATTCTGACATTTCTTGTTTTCTCTGTTTTTAGCAGGTAATTGCTGCCATGGAAACACAACTGTCTAATGGGCCAACTTGCAATAACACAGCCAATGGTCCAACCACCATAAACAACAACTGCTCGTCACCAGTTGACTCTGGGAACACAGAGGACAGCAAGACCAACTTAATAGTCAACTACCTTCCTCAGAACATGACACAGGAGGAACTAAAGAGTCTTTTTGGGAGCATTGGTGAGATAGAGTCCTGTAAGCTTGTAAGAGACAAAATAACAGGTACGCAGTTTTATATGGGTTACTCATCTTTAAAGAATTATGTTTCTTGTGCGAGAAAATAATAAGTTTACTGCCTGTAGATCATTCAGTGCTGCAGTTTTACCCATCGAGGTACTCTCTGTTACTGACTACATTAGCAGCATGAAACTTAGTTTTAAAAGTTTTGTTTTCCTTTTAAAGCATAAAATATTTTTATGGACAGTATGTATTATAACTAGACTTTTATATACCATATACTGTGCAATAACATCTTTGAAAAATGTTTTAGAAGTGTGTGTATGTCTGGGACAGAAAGTATCATGTTAACCTTCAGTTTTTAGTTTCCTGAGCTTATATGATTTAGCATTTTTACAATGAGATATAGGAAGCTTATTCTGTTTGGGAGAAGGAAGAAACTTCTTAAAATGTCTTTTCCTTTAAGTCTGTATAGTTCTGCTTTTAATATATATTACAGAGTAAATAGTAATATTCACGTTGTCAATGTATAAATACTTGCACTGATATAATTTGAGTGTAGCAAGTGTACATTTTGAATGTTGGATAGTGGAGAATAACCTTAGTATTTTGTAAGATTCAACTAAATATTTAGAATAAGCCGAAGTCTAACTGAGCATGTTCTTGGGATAATGTTTCCTGTAGGAGTTGTTCTGAAACAATGAAAATGTACAAAGTTAAGTGTAGAAAGACTAACTTTCTCATGTCGTTATTAAGTTTGAGGGGTGATGTATATTAAATTGCTTTACATGGCTTATAACTCAAACTTTAAAAACTAAATATTTGGAATGGGCAGAGAATACCTAAAGGCAGTGAGAAGAGTTTGACCAAGAATCAAGTCAACTCTTGGCTTCAGGTCTCCCTAGGTAAATGAGGTAGAGGCTAAAGAAAGGGGTCACACTAGGTATTTCTGCAGTCATTTTTACTTTGTTTGAGATAGTACCTTTCTTTTATCAAGACAGCAGGACTTACTGCCTCCAAGGTGGGAGAATGTGTTCTTAGAGCAATCACCTCAGCTTGGCCTCACAATCTTATTTCCTGGAGCTACAAATTGAAACTCACAGAGGGAACATACTTAAATCAAGTAAAAACTAAGTAAAACCTGGTTGTCATCAATCCATACTGAATAATTACACTTTAACTAGTTATGTTACTTAGATGTTCACCACAGTATCATCAGGGAGATTTTTTTTTTTTTTTTTTTTTTTTTGGGAATACTGATAATCCAATGGAGAATATTTTTCCATTTCTTTTTCTAAAATCAGTGTCAGCATATGTGAAGTTTATAACCGTTTTTGAAAAGTTGAAAAAGTTAGAAAACAAATGGCTCCTTTAAAAAAAAAAAAGGTTTTATTTTATTTATTTGACAGAGACACAGTGAGAGAGGGAACACAAGCAGGGGGAGTGGGAGAGGGAGAAGCAGGCTTCCTGCTGAGTGGGGAGCCAGCTCTGGGATCATGACCTGAGCCGGAGGCAGATGCTTAACAACTGAGCCACCCAGGTGCCCCAAGAACAAATGGTTCTTAATACATTTGCCCTGACACTAAATTTTATTCTTTTTAGCAAAACAGCTTCTTCATATGTGACTTTTGCAACCTCCTTTACATAAATGACTGCCTGATAAATAGTATAAAGGTCATGATATCATTGATGTGATTTCTGGGTTAATTGCTTAGTAACTGTCCCTACCATGAAAAAAAAAAAAGATGCTTGAACTAGGTATATAAATGTTGAATTTTTTGTTATGATACTGTAAGTAGATAAAAATACAGAACAAATCTTATATCCTTTTTATTAGGCACCTTCTGCAGAAAACATTTCCAAGATTTTAATCTTTTCATCTCTGGTCGATCTTAAATTATCTTACTCTTCCATACATCTTTTACTAGAGCTGTTTTATGGTGCAACAAATTTGAATTCTGTGTCTTCATACCCTTTGCCTCCCTATCTTCAGTGTGATAAACAACGGTAATGGAACCACAGTGCATGGTAATATGAAGGACATGGTTGGATACTGGCAAAGTGCATTAATATTTCCTCTCCACTTCTTTATCCCCCATCAACACCCCATTGTCTGTTCAGTGAGAGGGAGCCATGAACATATTTTCCCACCATGGTAAAATATCTATTTAAAACTTATTGTAAGCGAATGGAGTACCTAAGAACATCCACAGTGGGCAGGAGGGTCCTAACACATTTTCTAAGCTTCATTCCAAGAGACACAATCATACTTGTTCTTCAGGGGAAATGTTCCATTGACAGACAAATTTGAGAAATGCTGCCATTCATAGTTTCCTATGTAAGAGCCAAATTGCAGATCATTAGCATATTAGAACCATACATTAAAATCCTGCAGTAAAGAAGCTGGTTTTCTGGCCTTATTTGACCACAGAACTCATTTTAGGGGATATCTCCCCAATACTAGATTTCCATCGAGCATATAAAGGGTTTTGCTATGAAAGCTTTTGAAATCATTTTACAGATTATCATACATTCTGAAACTCTTCTGTAACCTGTTCATATCAAAGTTAATGAGCATGTTTCATAAATGAACATCCATGATAATGAACTGTGTATTTTAAAAAGGTGAGCAGGTAAATAAGAATACAGAGCACCTCTTCTAGTAACCCTGTTTTGACTTAGTCCAGTAACATCTCATTCTTAGTATGGGTTAAAGTGGTGTTCAGAAGGGTCTGACTCATTTAGTCTCAAAGCCCAAATTTAAATGTGTACATATATTTTTAAATCCTGAGTTTCTTAGTAAATATTTGTATTGAACAAAATAGTATAGTAAATGGTAGATTTTTAAAACTGGATTTTGAATGGTTGTACTTTGCCAAGTGAGCATATCTTCCTAAGAAACTACTATTAATGTACCTAGAAAGATTGGAAGAGTTTGTGAGGATGTGGAAACTGCCCTTTGGTGTATTTATCATTAGCCAGTTTATGCGGTTTCTCAGTACACATTTGTAGGGTCAAGTCTCAGTTCCTTGGTCTAACTATCCAACTTATCCTGCCTCCTGGGGAGCTCCTGGGCCAGCTCTTTGTATTCTGATTTTGTAGGAGGTGAGCATTGGTTGTCTGGGTTGTAAGAAAACTATGAGGTCACTCTTTGGGAAGAATATTTAAATTGCTCTTTTTCATTTTTCTTTAATCTTTGCCTACTTAAATAATGCTGAATTAGGAAATTGTATCTCAGGTTTAAAAAAAAAAAATCCAGTTAGGAAAATATGGGCCTCTTGCCTAAGTCCTAAAAGTGAGTATATAATTTTAGATTGTGTTGTTGTTGGCAAATTAATGTCACTATTTTGATAGAATGAGGATTAGAGAAATACATTAAGGCACCTTTCAGTAGTAAATATAGTAATCTTCTCTTTGGCCTAAATTCTATTTATTATTATGTTGTTTTTCAGGCCCTTTCTTTGGTCTCATGCCCAGCTTTATGCTTCATCCCATTTCCTGTCTACAGACATTCATCATGAGAAACCACTGCTGCTCATACAGTTTAGCTGATGTTGGTCCATCTTTTTGGGTTTATGTACTTTAGAGTCCTTGACACCTGCTGATGCTGCATTCTAGAGGAGTGAACTGGATTTTATGAGGCAAGGAGTGAGTAATAGAGTGTTAGAATCAGAAATGTCCTTGAGATGACCTTAGCTCCTTCACTTAACAGGTGATCTGAAGCCCATGTTTGTTTAAATGACTGAATAGTCCAAGACCTCATAGCTGTTAAGTGGTAGAGCAGGGACCAGAATTCCAGTTTTTTGCTTCTTTCCTGGGATATTTCCTCCTTGCCTCTTGTTAGAGGCTAGAACTCTTTAAAAATTAACCACAGGACCAACTGATGAATTTATAGTGAGACACTTAACTTGTATAGATCCACTGAGGGGCATCTTTTGGTGGGTGTGTTTTCTTCAGAAGGGGGGAATAAGAGAGTTTTGAGAGTCAAGGACTGATGGATACATAAAATCAAGGAGAACATCCATGCTGCTCTATAAAACTAGTACTCTATAGTTGTGAATTTGGGTATTTTAGCTTAGTGATTGCTAAATCTGGCTGCCTATCCTCATGTGAGAGAGTTTTAAAAAAATACAGATTCTGGAGGCTTTGGGAATCCGTTGTCAGAAAGTTCCCCAAGTGATTTTGATGGGCAAACAAGCAGTTTTGGGAATCAGTCTTTTCAAGTACAGTCAGTAGAGTTACCTGCCTTGGAATCACTTGGGAGGACCACCAGAAGTGCAGCTTCCTGGGCCCTGCCCAAACCTACAGAATCAGAATCTTTGAAGTAGGGCCCAGAATGTTGCATTTACCTGAGAGTTATCCACTACTTTTCCTGAATATTTTGCATGGAGGTAGAACCAGTATATTCCAGGTTTACCCGAACTCTGGCTGGAGATGGGTGGGAGAGTTGTAATAATTGCAGTGTCCCTTCCCCAGTGGTGGTTTCTGATGAGTTATCTCCTGGGGTGTAGGACTAGAGGTGTCAAGTTTAAAAGTCACTAGGCTATATCTTTACTGAAGACATACTTTTCCTTTCTTCTAATGGAAGAACAGAGAAGTAAGAAGAGAAGTAAGTTAGGTGAAGACTTCAAGTAATGAGTGATGCTCCTTTTTATCTTGATGTAATGTCTGCACTATTATTCCAGGACTTGTCCCAGGTGGGTCCTGTGCTGACCTCATCTGCCAACAAGAATCTTTCAGACAAAAAGGAGAAACAAAGACCCAAACAAACATATACAAATTGTAGGGGACCCAAGGAGGGACTTTGCCAGTGTCCCTCCTTGGATGATTACCTTTGAACAGACAGCACCACCTATGCTAACACAGATCTGCCACTCCTCTTTTTTTTTTTTTTTCCTTTAAATAGGGTTTAAGCTAGATTAAGTTATAGCTTTGTTGCTTCCTGAGAATATTCTCCCCTCCTCTTTAAGATTTTATCTATTTATTTGAAAGAGAGAGAAGGCACAAGAGAGGGGAGGGGCAGAGGGAGAGGGACAACCAGGGAG